AATGGTACATTCTATTTTTTTGACTGAAAACTTTTTTTACCGAAGGATGTTTTACCGAATTTACAGCTATTTTTATAAATTCTGATCACTTGATAACCCCAAAAAGGTATAAACTTATTTGCCGACAACCATTTCACCATTTCACCGACTAAGTTGCAATTTTATTCAATCGAGAAGACATCTTGTTGGGAAATTTCTTATTTAGAGGAATATCTTTTCGAGAAAACACCTTTTCGGAGAAACATCCTTTTGAGGAATTATATCAAAATGTTTATCGGTGAAAAGGCTTCGGAAAAAATTTTTGTCTGGGGAACAAGAGTTCGGAGAAAGGGTTTCGAATAAAATTTTTCAGAAAATTCAGGCTGTCGGGGAATTGGTTGTGTCAGAAAAAAAAAATTCAGTAAAAAATTTCTATCAGTAAAATATACTGTCAGAAATATGTCTTGTCGGGAAGAAGGGATATCAGAATTATGGAGTCGGGGAAAATGGTATTTCGTGGAAGGTAGGTTTCGGGAAAGTGAGAATCAACGCTCAAAAAGGCACCATTAATGGGCTATGTTGATAGGGTTTGCATTTGATATAACATGTCATCCCGTTTATCGGGATTAACCCTTATTGCAGTATTGTCTATCATATTCTAGGTTTTTTTTTCGACATTTATCCCGACCTTTTTGGAAATTAAAAATACCGCTTATCACGTGTTTATTGAGATTTTAAATATATACAGTATATATATATATATATATATATATAATATAACTTATGTTATACGTATACAAAGTAAAATCACTTTTACTAAAACGCACCTATGGTGTTGTACTAATTAATTGGTACATTCGTAAGTACATGCCGCTCTAAATCTCTAAATAAAAATGCTCTATAACCCAAAAACCTTTCACTAACCTTAAATTTAATTCAAAATACTAGAGTAAAGTAAAAAGACGTAATAAAGACATATAATAATTGTAAAACTACAGTAGGTACGTTCTAACCAATGTGAATAATGCACCCAAGTAATACAGTATATACAAGTTGATATATCACAATAGTATTATAGATGAATTTCTAATTTTAATTATGATTACAAATTGAAAAAACAACTTAACAATTAATAATAATAATAATTTTAATTAACCTTATAAATAATAAAAATAATAGAATCTTTATTTTTGAATTACAAGATCGATATTTTCAAAATTTAGTACTGATACAAGGGATTTAAAGTTTATTGGAGGGGGAACAAATTTTTTATGACATTAAATGTTTTTTTTGATAATAAAGTAAACAAATAATTTTTAATTATTACATTTTGACGAATACTTTCATTGAATTTAATTATAAAAAATCAAGTTGTAAATTATAAAAAGCTAAGACATAAAAATAAGACATAAAAATCAAACAGTTTACTATTGATTTAACTGGGTAGACCAACCACTTACCATTTTCAACAGAGCTCTATATCGATGAATGAATCAATTTCAAAGTGGTCATAGAATAGCTTAGAAATGTATAAGAAACGTCTAAGAAATAATTAAATTAGATATTAAATTAGATATTAAATTAGAAATTAAATTAGGTATTAAATTAGATATTATATAAATTAGGTATTAAATTAGATATTATTAAAATGGTTTTTTTTTCTTTAAATAGCATCAACTTTTTTATTGTGATATTGCATTTCGATTTAAGATTACTTTATACTGTATATGTTGTTCGTTAATCAAATTAATACTGCAGATTAAAATAATAATGATATCGCTAATACAGTTATACTGTACGTACCAAACCTTTAACCTTAACAGTTAATAAAACTTATAAAACTTATATTTAAATTTTTTAAAAATTTAACATTGAAACAAACCTGTTATCAACTCGAAAAGTGTCTGCAGTTATACATGTAATTAAGCATTATTACAGTATTATAGTTATATAGTACGTATACGTATACGAAATATATCGATATTAAACTATTGGTTATCTCTGTGATGAAAACGATTTACTTGTTACATATTAATCCGATCTAGATTTAGAATAGCCGAACTCTAATATCTAGACCATAGATATATCTATCGCTATGATGTAAATGGATTTACCCGTTACTAAACTAAGGTAACAGGATCAATGATCGACGATTTTATAAGAAAAAGTTAGGATTCGTAATAAGCTTGTTGATTAAAATTTGGAAAAGAGGAAAATAATCTGAATTAAACATATATATAAAAAATTTCGAAAAATTGAACGAGAAATAGAATAATTTCTTTTTTTTTTTTGGAAAACGAAAAGATTTCAAAGTCAAGTAATGATAAAAGATTGGTAGGAGAGGCCAAAAAACCGGATAATGATAAATACAGAAATCGAAATTTAGAAATAAGCTATTAACATTAACGTTAACATTGACGTTAGAAAAATATTGATCGATATAACGATAACAGGTTTTTTATCATAACAAGCATTTCTTTATTTACTGTATCAGTATCGACCAATCGATTTTCATTTTCAAGTTAGTAACAAAGGATTAACGACTTTGTATGAATAAAAATCTTCGCCTTGTCATTTAAAGGACGAAGGATAATAAAGAGATTACTAAAATGTATCTTGGTTGGTTATAATTAAAGCTAGAGGGCATAAAGATACATATATATTGACCGAGTAAATTTCTCAAAAAAAAAAAAAAATTTTTTTGAAATTATTATTTTTTCATTTCGTTTCTCTTTCGTAATTTAGAATGCTATAACACATAAACTATAACACACTTATGACATTAATAAGACATTTTAAACCAAAATTTAAGATACACAGCATAAATTTTTAAGACATGGCACGCGTATTTACGAAATAAGGTCAACAAGAAAATTAATCACAGGTTTAGTAATTCATAGATAATTTATAAATCATATATTACACGTAAAGCGTTCACCACTTTACGCACGCATTTTACATTACCAACCAAAAAATACAAAATATACAAAATATACAAAATATATATACAAAATATAGTAGGAATTAACAAAATTCATATATGAAAAGATGTTGTGTCAGTCATGCAAAACAGTAAAGGCTTATTTAGGCGTATCTATTACAGTATTTCGAACTGAAATCGAAATATTTGAGAAACCCTTGTTTGATAACTAATAATAGTAAATTTTCCAAAAGTAGGGTAACTTTAAATAAATGATTTGTTAAAAATCTAGGTCCTTGTTTTTACGTATTACTTATCGTATTACTTATCAATTTATGATGGCTGAATTTTTATTTTTATTTTTTATCATCTTTTTGTACTTAGAAGGATCAGAAGGAATTTAAGAGAGCACACGTGTAATGTTTAAATGCTAATGATCAGAATTTAAAAAAATTATACCAGTTTCACAGATACAAAAAAAAATGTATTACAGAAAAAAAACATTTAAAAAAAAAAAAAAAACAAGGTCCGAAAAAAATTTCATTGTAAAATTACTTTAGGTAACGATTTCCACATCTTACTCCACACTTTTTACAGAATGTCAGGAGCGTTAATGGGTTGGAGATTTTTTTTATTTTATTTTTTTTTTCTGATTTTCACCGCAGACAAAGAAAAATGAATTTCTCGTGGCGTGAAATGCATACATGATTACGCAATTTTAAACCCATTTTATGAATATTACAGTTACACTGCACAAATACTTAGTGATATGAAATCATTTTTATAATATCATTGTAGGACATTTTGTACATAATACCGTTACGTAGTAGGATATGTTGGTGGTACTTTGTGGACTTAGTGGTATGTAGATGGTATGTTGATGGTATGTAGGATAATACGTGAGAATTCGTGGGAACGTAACATGAGCAACATGACCAGTAGTAAATAACGATAATCATTTAAATTGATAATTAAGAACAATGATCAGTAAAAAAAAAAAAAAAATTTTTTTTATCGTGAACCCTTTCACAAATTTCACAGAAGACGCCTTATGAATTAAAGTTACACGAATGAAGATCGTGTTAAGCATATTTTAACTTAGAATGAATAGAACTCAAGTTCTTAGATTCTAGGGTGAGTACGTAATACAAAAAGAACTGAGAATGTGAGAAAAAGTACAGTATATTGAATGAATGGACAAGGGGAAACAAAGACGAGCAAAAAAGTTTCTTTGTTAGTCTGCCACGTTTTTTTTTTTATTATGTAATCGACTAAATGTCATTTGTTTGTTGCTCGTTTTCGGTATCCTTAATTTGCCACATGGCAAATAAAGTTACTCAGATGTAATTCATACTGGTCATTGTATTTTCCCTCCCGCAACCTTCGTAATTTTCTTTGCATTTTACTCAGGTAGTACTTGAAAAACGTGCGCATAATTTTTAGTTTAATATTTTGTACAAGTTAACAAGGAATATATATTCGTATACCCTAATAATGGTTGAAACGTCATGAGTTCCTTATAAGTCAAACAGGTTCGAGTAACAAGGTAATTTGAAATTGAACAAATCAAATATTGATTTTCTGGTTATTACAAAGAGCCCTTCTAGACGTGGATCATTCTCCGGATATTAAATTACTGAATTATTATTTATTTATCAAAATATTTATTTATAAAGATATCTAAATTAATATATCTTTTATTTTTTTCCTACATACATACATGTATATATATATATATATATATATATTATATATATTATATATATAATTTTTTTATGTATACATACCTTACTTTAAAGCTATATATTATCGATATTTATTTTGTATCTCCACATTTTTTATACCTATCTGCTATTTTTTTTGAGTATAAATATTCTCAGGTTCTCCGCTTTCCATTTTTTTTTCTTCGTCCAAATTGCGCATTTCAAAGTCCTTTGTTCTTTGAGGAATTTTTCAATAAAGAAAACAATAGTAGTTCTTGCTCTGCGAGCATTACCATATATATACCTTTTTTAAATTACTTTTTTAGATTGCTGAGATAAAAAAAAAAAAAATTTAAACTTTCCGATTTTTTCTCTTTTTTTAAATAATAAAAAAAATGATGACATCTTCAACATCAACTCCTCCAACATCTCCAAAATCTATTTCTCCATTAACTGACCCTCCTACATTACCTAAATTAAGACACATTGCTCCTGCTCCTCGAGATAAACCTGAATATGATATTTATCATATTCCAAAAGGTTATGAAGTAGTATTAGTACCAAAAACTTCTTCTAATGGTACTACTCCTGATTTCTCTACTGGTCCTTCTCCTACTTCTCCTACTTCAAATGTTATACCTCTTTCACCCGCTGCTTCTGTGTCTAGTATTCATGGTTCTCCTTCAAAACTTTCTCTTTCTCCTCCATCTAAATCTCCTCCAAATAGTTCGTGGCGCAAACGTAAAAATAATGGTCATATTCCTCGTCCAAAAAATTGTTTCATGGCCTATCGTGAACATATGCAACATGAAGTTCTTAAAAAAAATCCTGGAATGAATAATAAACATGTTTCTGTTATTGCTGCTGAAATGTGGAAAAATGAACCTGAAGATGTTAAACAATTTTGGCGTGCTCGTGCTCAACAATTAAAACTTGAACATATGGCTAAATATCCTAATTATAAATTTGCTCCAAAAAAGAAACAATCAAAATCAAATAATAATAATAATAATAATAATAATATTAATAATAATTCTCTTGGTCTTAATGGAATTAAACAAATTAATAATAGTAAAGTCATTAAAAGATCTTCTAATTTAATGACTGATGGTTTCACTAAAGATTTATTAAAAAATCGTGAAAATCGTGTTTCTCCTCTTTTTTGGGGCCATTATCGTTCTTCTTCTTCAGATTCTATTGGTTCAATTGGTTCAATTGGTTCAATTAATTCTTGGACTAGTGATTCTGCTCCTTCAACTCCTCCTTCTTTTATCGATGATCCTACTCATTCTCCTCCTATTTTTAATTCTCATCATGAAAATCGTTCTCCTTCTCCTTTACGTTTTGAAACTTTAAAAGTTGAATCTAATAATAATCTTGATCATCAAAATGATTGGCAAAGAATTTGTGATATGCCTCTTGAAGGTGAACTCTTTCAATCTCTTCTTCCTCCTCCTATTATGGATTTCGATCAATCCATTCATGTTGATGCTCCTTATTATGATGATTTTGAAAGTGGAAGTTTCCTTCAACCTAATACTCAACTTTTAAATCCTTTTGAATTTAATCCTATCATTCCTACAAATCATCATCATCATCAAGGTTATAATAATAACGCTCTCTATTAATTCCTCCTTTAATTTAATTTTTAACTGAGCAGCACGGATCGCTGGTCGGTTCTTTTTTGAATCACATAATTTTTTGAATCACATAATTTTTTGAATCACATAATATTTGATCCATATAATAATTTGAACCATATAATAATTTGGTTGCATATATTCTCGAACATTTTTTTAATCAATTAATTTTTACGCGCATATTTTGGACACCTTAAATATTTTTTTTTCACATTTCGTATGTGTATAAAAAAAAAAAAAAAAAAATCTTGAAAAAATTCTTTTTTTTTGTATTTATTCTTAAATTCCACTCCGTAACCCTTGTATTTTTCCGTCGTTTTTTTTTTTTGTAACCTATCATAGATTATACATACGCTTATAGACGCAAAGTCTCCAATTTAACGTAAAAAAAAAGATTGGCAGCATTTGCACTTTTTGTTATAATATTCTCATAGACTTGTTTTAAATAGCATTGTATTTATTACTGCATTTTTCATTCTTTTTTTTTTTTTAATTGCATTCACATTCTTTTTACATATACACGTTGCATTTTCTTTTCAAAAAATCGCATTTTATAAACAAATACGCATCTTTTTTGTTTTTTTTTATTTATTTTATTCTTTTCTCTTTTCTTTTTTGGTTTGGTTTGGTTTGGTTTGTTTGTTTATTCATTCATTCAAAGTCGTTTTTTTTTAATTTAGCATTCGAAAACTCAGAAAAAAACTCAGAAAACCCTAAAAAAAAAAAAAAAAAAATTCATTTACTGTTACGTGTTCAAGCGACTGCTGGTTTATATAACCAATAAACTTGCTTGTATGAATCATACCAGCCT